CTCTACAAGTGGGAAGAGTGATTGTCATTATTTATTGGTTTGGAAATGGCCGGTCTTTATATTATTTTATGAAGACCTTTATCAGATTAATAGGTTTATTCAATATAAAAATCATTTATTATATAAAGACCAGTACGAGAACTGGTCGGTCCTCAGGACCGGTCCTACTGCGCCACAAAAAAATGCAAGACCGCGGTCCGGTCTTACAAGTCCTGGGACCGACCAGTCCAGGACTGAGTAGGACCAGTAGGACCGATGACCATCCTTAGCCAGGCCCCTTTAATGCTAGTACCATTATAGTATTACATGATTTATAAAATTCAAAATGATCAACATTTCCACGCTTTTAAAATTTTAGACTAAAAATAGAATGATTAACAATCCATGGAAATCCACGCTTTGGGTCAATTTGAATCAATTTACTCATTATAATGTGTCCACTTAATAATTTACTGTTATCCATTCTTGAATAGGCACTATTGAATTTGCCGGCAAGCAAATTTTTTTAAATTGCATTGCTTTATTATTAAGTTGAATAATAGATCCATTATTATTAAATCTCTTTCGGACAAATAAAAATAAACTTCTAATTGATGGCAGTATTTGATTAAATGATTAAAGAATTCGATTTTATAAAAAATACGATAACTGATCGATTGAATATTTCGCATCGCGAAATATTCAATCGATTATATTTTACGAATGGAATAAAAGGCATTTATATGTTTAATTTAAGTGATACAAAACTATGATAATCATTTATTAATTTTTTTAATTACACATTAATACATTAAGTAGTACATTATATAAGACGATCCTACAAAATTATTTCAAGATAAAGTCAATTAAAATCTAATTGGCTGTTTGTCACACTTCGTAGTTCCCTGAATCTAATTGCCAGCGGCTGAATACTTTTTTACTATTATTAGTTATCATTTTCTACAACCAGTTTAGTCCCGTTAAACGCCATTTTATCAATTGTTTTAATAATGTAGTCAATGTTTGTATCACGCTTTTAATGCTAATTTATTGGTCCAATTTCACGTGATGAATAAAATGTTACTCTGTCAATCATAGGATCAAACTTAGGATCGATGTCAAACTCTCCACCTTTAGGATCGATATTGAACACGCAACTTAATGTAAGGATCGATGTTGAAACAACAAATCAACAGGATCGATGTCAAACTCATAACTAGTAGATAGAATCTGCATTTAAATAGCTCTTTTACGTTTTGATATCTCTATATCATATTTTTCATAAATTAATGCGTGTCTCCAGTCATGACAAAAGCATTAGATGACTATTCGTGGAAAGTTAAATTTTGAAATTAACGTGCAATATCATATAATTTACTCTGTTCAACAACTTTTACTAAGCTTATTTTTTGTGTTACTTTTAGATTTTACATCGCTTTTATTCGGATTATTTTTGTTTGAAGCTGTTTCTGAATTTATACTGCATTTTTTGCAAATGTAATGTGAATGATTGCTTGATTTAGAACAATAATTGCATGCTCCATTTTCAAGTACTGTATAATCGGTTTTTTTACCACAAATTTCACATTTACCCATAGTAGTTCACGAACTTTAAATTATAATTATCTACTAATAACGATAATCATGAATTCATGATACGATGATCTACACGGTTACTGGCTACACCATTTTGAAAAGGCAAAAAAGATCAGCCGAATGGTCATTTACACGAGTTATGTCATGTAACATGACCGAATATAAAGGATAATCGATCGGATCCAAGTCTACCCATCCAAATTTGCGTATTTTTTCAGTTAAAATTGAAGATAAAACGTGAATTTGCTTAAAATCTGTTTCAGTTTTCTTTAGTATGTCAAAATATACTTGAACAGAACTTTTATCTTTCTAAATAAAAGTGAATATTTTTTTTTAAAAAAAAAAGTTAGATAACAATACTACGAAAACAGTCAATTCCGAAATAACCACTGAACAACATCATAAAAACATCTTTGATTTGAAGTGCCTCATGCAAGGATACACATAACCTCTAGGGACTACCACAGGTCAAAATGCTAAAAATCGGCAAAAAAAATGGCGTGAAAAGCAATGGCTATTCTTGGCTATTCTTGGCTATTTTTGGCTGTTTTTGGCTATTTACGAATTAACCTATACTATTTGTAAATAGTTTATACAAATTTGCGAATAGTTTATGCGATTTGCGCCATTTTTTTTGCCTATTTTTGATCATTTGACGTGTGTACATTAATTAAATCACAAGTTCCTCGAGCAAGGATACGCATAACCTCTAGGGATTAAATTAATTAAATCACAAGTGCCTCAAACAAGAATACCCATAACCTCTAGGGACTACATTAATTAAATCACAAGTGCCTCAAACAAGGATACGCATAACCTCTAGGGACTTCCATATCAAAAAGCCTCAATATTTTTACCTATAATCATCATGTTCAAAAATAAAATCAGAATATCAATAACAAAAAAACTTACATCACTTAATTTAGGTCTTTCTTTTAATCTACAATATTTTTTTAAATAATTGCAATATGAAGAATATAAATTGTTTGCTTTTGTAGAGTTAAAGGGCGCCCTAAAATTTCCAGTATACATATTGTAAACAACATATTCTAAAAGAGAAAAAGTGTTGTCCTGCTTATACTTGAAGTATTCTTCGTAGCTCATTATTATTTGAAGAAAGAGAAGTAAAGGACTCAGTTACCTTTAATACTAATGCTCGACATTGCGCCTTATACTTATTATCTTTATTTGGATTATAAACAGAGAATTTGATACTAAAAATAGTAAAAATCAAAGTTTAAGAAAAAAGTCCTAATACAAAATGCGTTGGTACAAGCATAGGGAAAGTTTGTTTTTATTGGTTATGATCAATGTGTGTCATGTTATTATGATTGGCTAAATAAAATAACACGTGATAATACTACGCGTATTACAGATCATTTCATGAGCCATTTTCAGCCCATCTGTAGGGGTTTTAACTATTCAATATGGTCCAAAAAAATCATGGCCCATGTTCAGTACAAAATTGTAATAATCAAGTAACCCGTTTTCGTCAATTCACTTCATTAGCATATGAGAAAGCCCAAAAAAAAGGAATATATGAAGCACATACGTACCTAAGAATCGGACAACAATTGTGTCATAGTCATTATATGAGTATTGTTGAACCTTACCATACTCAAAAGTCAGAAGTTCCCTTTTTTTTAGAACCAGATAAAGAAAATTCAAATTGTAAATATTAAAATGATTGAAAATTAAATTTTTTTTTTTTTTTTATAACTAATTTTTTATTTGTTACATACAGAATCAAAAAGCTATTCATTTGCCGAGCAGGTTACTATGCTTACAAAGGTTCTATATGAGCGGCGTGGTAATTTAGAGCTTAATCCTACCCATTTTAAACAAATGATAGAAAAAGCAGATCCACGTTTACAAGGTCTTTTTGATAAATTAGTAAAGGCATTGGTTCCTGATAACAGATCTGCATATAATAAAGTTGAAGCAAGAAAAACAATTGTAAGTCTATGTTATATCATGGCTGGAATGCGAAATAAGTTTGTTAACGATTTCAAGTTGGAAGTTGGATTATATTTGTCAGCATCGGGTGCAACACGTGCTGCAATTGATACAATGAATAGTATTGGATTTTCTGCTTGTTATACAACAGTTAATAATTTTAAACGTAAAATTGCCAATGAACATCCGTTAAATATCAGAAAATTTCTCTCTGAACATGTAAGTAAAAAAATATTTTTTTTTCATTTGAAGAACTACTATTAACCAAAATTTAATTACAATCAGAGTGACCATTTGTACGTTTATAATCTAGATGATTACCATGACATACATGAGAAAAGAAGACCAGATACCGTAACTTTATCTACTGCCAAACATATGGCCACTTGTATCTGTAAGCAGGTTTCAGGTTGTGCACCAATACCTATTATTTTTAACAACGTGTCAGTTCATAATCCAGTAAATATTGATGCCAGCAATATTTGTTTTCGATTAATTCAGGAATATCATGGAATATTTGATATTGCATACACTAATCGTAAAAAGCAATGGCTTACCAATGGACAATTAGCTACTGACACTTTTGATCAAATTGAACTACTCACAGTGCATTGTTATTATGATGCCATTGCTGAAAGAAAAGAAGAACGTTCAATGAAAGGAGTACGATTAATTGGGTTTCAAGAAAAGAATTTGCATTCTCTGAACGATTATATAACAGCATTACAAATGATCTTGGATATTGATAAAGATACTGGATACTTACAAAATCATATCGCACCATTAGTAGCAGATTGGCCTGGACAGTTATTTGTTCGTAAAGCAATAACAAATTTGCATAAGGTGGATTCACAATATTCAATACCAGCTGGGATTAACTCGTTTATTCCAATTTTAGGCCCTCTTCACGTATCTCTAAATAGCAGAGAACATGTATTAATTGTATATTATACCTTCTTTCAAAAACTATTCCATTTTGTATTTGGTAAAAGAAAAGTATTAGCAAAGAAACCCAAACCTTGGAGAATTAATTTGCTTCTTGACTTAGCATATAATGGATGGTGTAAAATTAGAGATACTATTTTAACAAAATTTGGAAGTACCTGTAAAGACATAGAATACCGTATGGTTATTGACTTGTTGGATAATATAATTCCTGCAACTTTGGATGTGTATTCTATTCTTTTTCGATCTGGTTCATTCAATGAATATATAGAAACAATTTTTCAAATTTGGACATTTGCACTTAGATGGAAACGGCATAATTATAATAAAGCACCATTAGCCTTCTTATCAGATATTTTTTATTGGCAAGATACGAACCATCCATTTGCTGAAGCTGTAAAATTATTTTTAGTAAACTTTAATGATTATTATGTTGAGAATATGCATAGTAAAATAAGATCTCAAACACCTGTGAATAGCAATGTTGACAATATAATAAAACAAGCTTACGTGATTGGTATCTTGTTTTGCCAACTATTTTCTATTTCTATTTGTTGTTTTATGTAATATACACTTTGTAACATCATTTGATCTTCATGTGAATGCATTAGATGAACGAAACCATTGTGAACTTAAAGATACTTTTCAAAAAACAAAGGCGTATCCTTACAAGCCATCATTGTTAAACATTCTGGCAGAAAAAACATCATTGTTTTTATTAGACTATTTTCAGAGAATTTATAAGAATTGTGGGAAAAGTAAATTATGTAAATCAAAGAAAAAGATACAATGTCAATTAGCTACCTTGGGAGAGACTGTTGATACGAAATGTCTTCCAACAGGATACAGTACAAATATGCCTCCATTGCCAGATTCTTGTGATCATTGCCGTAAAAAACTTGATGATGGCGAAGTATTAATTTGTGGGCATGGTTATCATTTTGAGTGTTATCAAATGATGGAATATGGTTGTCGTCATTGTGAGGAATACTACAAACGCGGAATTTATAGCAACGTGAACTCTTTCTTAGATCGATTAGAAAAGGGACCAAATGTTCTTACTTCTGATGAACAAGACAAAACTCCAACAGAAGAAAATGAGACAGTGGAAGAAGTGGAAGCAAATGGAAGCCAGGAAGTGCATGCAGAACTTTTAATTGCACTTATTCATGTTAATACCTGGTGATATTGTCTGTAATTTAGTTAAAATGTATTAACTATTGTAATGTGTTATTTTTTTTCATGTATAAAAGACAAATTAAATAAATTACTTACTCTTATAATGTTTTAAAACGAATATTCTGTTTAGAATAACATTTTGTAAGTTCAATTTGAAATTTACTAAGAATAACTTCAATTTCAGTCCTATTGCCATAATTATAGAAAATACTTCATATAAAACTCTCTGAAACATTGGATGTCATTGGATGTTATTAGTTCTAGAGAAGGAAATAGATTTAGAGAACATATTTGTAAAGTTCGAAAAAAAAAAGTGGAAAATATAACGCATGCATGCACTTTACAGTGATATTTAAATTTATTAATCATTTCACCTTATTATAATCGTTTAAATATATATATAAATATCAGATATTTGATTTTAATTCTTTGTATCTTCTCCTTTAGTAAGCTTTAATAGCCTCTCAAAGGGAGATGACAATATTATTAATATTAGCAATTTGATCTAGATTCTTGTTTATGATTTTAAAATTACCAATGATGAAGTAAAAATATTTCTGAGGACAAATTTAAAGCTTTTTTTCAATTTCAGAATTTACGTATTAAGTAATAAAAAAAAATCTAGTTTTTTTCTATGAAGAAATAAAAGTTCGTTTAAACATTAAGATAAAAAAAATATCAGATACTCTTTGAACAAAACTTGTTATAATGATAGCGAAAAAATCTAAAAAGATAATATAATCTAATTTTGATCATTTTGATGACAAATCTTGTTTAAGTCAATTTGACAGGAATGTGTTTTTTTACTTTCTTCGCTTTCTTTAGAATAAGGAACAGTAGATACATTATTGTTTTCAGGATCAATACTGTTAAGTTCTGAATTTACTTGGAAAATATTCGGTCGTTCAGCTGGTTTGTGTTTCCAACATTCTGTTCAAATTAGATTGAGATAAGAAAAATGAAAATTGTATTAATACCAAAGAGTTCATTGCTTCTACCTACTTTGATAAAGACCAATAAATTCACTATTCGTATTCGAAACAGGTTTTTCTCTCACGCCATTAAGTATCTTTGGCGTAATATCGCAATCTCCAAGACCATCAAAAGGTGACTTACGGCTAGTTAACTCCCAGAATAAAAATCCCAAACAATATATATCAGATTTCTCGTTCATCTTGTATGGAGTTTCTTGATCAAACGCTTTAGGATCCACATAAGGCATTACACCCCATACTTCAGTATTATCACGATCCGATTCTTTTAGGAATGAGCGTCCAAAATCCGCCAATTTAATTGTATCTTTATGTATTAAGATATTGTTGGGATGCTAAAAAATGAATGTGTTAATTACACAATAGTATACTGTAGTGGAATATAAATTATGAAACAATAGGAAGGTACTTACAAGATCACCGTGTATGATTTTCTTATCATCATGTAACCATGAAATTGCACTTGCAATATCCTTAGCAAACCTTAATTGATCCTTCCATTCAAAAGTTATAGTACTGTTTCTTAAATAATCTCTTAGTGTTCCACCGTCTGCATACTCAAGGATAAGAGAATATTTGTTTTCACCTAAAATAAAGAAACATATGTAAACGAAACCTTAAAACAAAAGCATCAGCTTTAAATTATAATCATTATTTTTACCCTCTAGCTTAGTAACTCCATAGAATCGAATTATAAACGGATGAGAAGTCAGTTTCATTATCTTAATCTAGAACAAAATAGAGAATTATAATTTATATAAATACAATATCGAAAAATGAGACTACGATCAGTAACTTACTTCGCTAATGATGTCTTCTTCCCTAGAAGTTTCTTTAAATTTTTTAATCGCGTACTTTGCTGATGTATTTTTCCATTCTGCGGCGAAGACGTCTGCAAATTTTCCAGAACTTATAGTCTCCAAAGGAATCTTAAAGTCACGAGAATCATAGTAGTAATGATCTTCAAGATGCGACTATTATGATGTCATCATTGGTTTTGTGTTTTGATAATGATGCAGGGGTGTTGCAGGATGGGCGTGAATGGGCGTTGTAGTGGCGTTGTCGATTAGATTTCATTAGTCTCGTGATTAAAAAAAAAACCATTGTTGTGACGCAGTATTTCTAACGGCTAACTTCCTAATTTTTAAACTGAAATAGAGAAAACTGAAATAGAGAAGAAATTGAAATTAGGGTATTTTTTGTACTGAATAGCCAAAATAAGGATTATAACGATAATATTTCAAAATGTTTTTTAATACTAACAAAGGAAAACGGAAAATGTAATATGTTTAATATCAAATATGGTCAAAGTAAATCAAAACTGGAAATAATCCATATAACGAAATTTTTGTGTATGATCATAAAATAAAAGAAATGAAAAGTGCACTGAATTTATATTTTTTTAAAAATATTGCGGTAATGCACTGTACTACTATCAAACCAATAAAATCCTGCGATTAGTCATACAAGGCGTTTTTGTTATTTTCTTCAAGTAGGTCGTACGGACTTGTGACTTCTAGTGAATTCTGCGTGTGATAAAAGCAAAGGGCAGAATTATTCAAGGCCAGCCAACATTATGATTCCCAAATTTAATGTTAGCTGGCATTACGATAAATTAAATTCTGTGATACAGAGCGGTTTTCTGTGAATCACAGAAAATCATCGCTACTCCTAAATAATGGATATTGGCTTACTTAATTGTAAAGGAAAATATTTCCGTTGGGATGATGATGCTGTCAAACTTTTGCTTTTGTTTTTAATAGTTCGAAAAGATGCAGTAAGACATTTAGGCTCAAATAGGGGCAATATAAAGCCAAAGCTATGGTCTGAAGCGTCAGATGTGCTTCTCAACAGTGGTCACCACTACTCTCCACGACAGTGTAGTGTTAAATGGAACAATATAAAAGCAAAATTTAAGGTGCAACATGGTTTAATAATTTTAATTTTTATTTTTTTTTTTAATAAAAAAGTATTTTGTTAGGATGATATGGTCAAATCTTGTAATAATCCAATTCAAGTACGATATAAAACAGAAATAGAGGAAATACTTGGTCGTTCACACTATTATTCCGGGATTAATAAATATCGCCGTTGGGATGATGGTGCTATCAAACTTTTGTTTTTGTTTTTAATAGATCGAAAAGATGCAGTAAGACTTTTAAGCACAAATAGGGGCGATATAAAGTTAAAGTTATGGTCTGAAGCGTCAGATATGCTTCTCAGCAGTGGTCACCACTACTCTCCACAAGAGTGTATGATTAAATGGAAAAATATAAAAAAAAATTATAAGGTAAAACGTGGTTTAATAATTTTAATTTTTATTTTTTTTTAATAAAAAGTATTTTGTTAGGATGATATGGACAAATCTCGTAATAATCCAATTCAAGTACGATATAAAACAGAAGTAGAGAAAATACTGGTGAGGAAGTAGTTTCATTTAATAAATTTTACTGGCCAAAATAAACGAAAGAACAAGTCTATTAATATTTTTAGTTTTTATAAAATACTACTACTTTGATTTACTATATCTGATATCTTTATTAGGTTTGTCGCTATAACCGATTTTATTAAAGATTATATGATGCATCATACCTAATCATAAATATGAGAACGCGCGCAAACGTTCATGACAAAAAATGATATGTACCGAAATGCATACCTTATACTCCTCTATCAGAAAATCAAATAAAAAATCCAAGTTATTATGTGAGATGTTAAGAAATAACCGATTTTTGATTAATATTATTTGATGCATCATACCTAATCATAAATGTGATTTATGTGAAAACGCGAGCAAATGTTCATGACAAAAATTAATGTGTACCTAAATGTATACATTGTACTCCTCTATCAGAAAAATCAAATAGAAAAACTAAGTTATTATGTGCGATGTTAAAAAATAATAAATTTTTGATTAATATTATATGTTGCATCTTACCTGATCATAAATGTAAAACGCGACATGACGAAAATTGATGTGTACCGAAATGCATTCCTAGTACACCTCTATCAGAAAATCAAATAAAAAATATGAGCAACGTTAAGAAATAACCGATTTATGTTTAATATTATATGATGAATCATGCCTGGACTGATATATTTATATAACACTTATACAAAATACGTATTGTCAATAAGTATATATATGTTACTTTGATTTTGAATATTTATTAATATTTATTAAAATGTCCAAACAAAATGGTAATGATAACAAAAAATCGATTGAAACACATCCTGAAGCAATTTACACCAGTAGACTTTTAAATTTTAAAAATCTACCAGAACCAAAAAATGCTGATGATGACACTACAAAAATCAATAAAAAACTTTCCAATGCAACTAAAATTACTAATACTTCATCAAAAAATGCCTTCGTTGTAGAATTTAAATACCAATACTTTTTTTATATAATTCATACACGCCTTCTAATTTCCCTTCTCTATACAATACACGTTCTTTAAATGATCCTTCTTCTCCTTCTTTATATAATACACATACGCCTTCTTTTTAAATAATTCGTATATACATCCCCCTTTTTCATATAATACTCATACACGCTCATCTTTAGGTGAATCATACACACATCCTCCTCATTTGAATAATTCAAATATTTTATTACCTTCTTTAGATAATTATATTTGTCCTTCTTTACACGTGATACCTCCGACCTATCAAGAAATATACTAAAGTTTTGTGTTACGTTACTGATCTATCAAGAAAATTAATATACTTATATACCACATTTAGGTTTCACAACGAAAAGTGAACTTCTTTCGTTTCAACAGGACGCTGTACAATGATATGTATGTGTTCGTCGGCTGGCTGGGAAGGGAAGTGTTTGCTAATTTTTGAAAGTGGAAGCAGTTCAACACCACCAAGCTCCTCTTTGATATTAACGTTAATTTTTGTATTAACAAGGTCAAGTTTTTCATTTTCTTCTTCGAGGGAAATGTCGACCTTCCATAACTTGAGGTCTTTTGCCTTAACATTATCGTCAATTTTTTCCTTGATAGCGTCTTTGAGTTCACTAACCGCCTCCGTCTTATTAACTTTTACATTAAAAGCATTTTCGTAAGAGTTTTCACCTACGACCAAACAACTGAGAGTGATAGTCGACATAGGAATATTTGGTTCGAATAAAAAAATGGTGTTATGTTCCAAAGTGAGAAAATTTTATTTCTGAGACTCCGAGAACTTTCATGTCGCACAAGCCACAAAGGATCAGACGTTCGCGTCATTTCACGTGAACTTCGATTATTCAATTCGATACTTAAATTAGCATATTAAATAGAGATAAGATTTTTTATTTTTCCATTTGGTTAAACCCGATGCATATATAGTAAGTCCAAAAAGTGTTTGTCAGCATTGGCTGCAGCATTAAGACATCTGATGAGTGCTGTTAGTCACGTTATTAAAATAAAAAAACTCATGACTTGCTTTTCTGAAAAGATCTGAAGAAAATTCAAAAGACTCATTATTACAATTTCTACAATGTCTGAACTGCCAGATGAATGTACACCTGTCTCTTATACACATCTAGATGTGTATAAGAGACAGAATATATACAGTGTTTGACTAATCGCGATTTAATTTCATTGTCATCAATGGTCGCAGCTTTAAGACATGTGAAAGGTGCTGTTTGTCACGTTATTCAAATGATATAAATTTAAAACTCATAACTTGCTTTTCTGAAAAGATCTGAAGAAAATTCAAAAGACTCATTATTACAATTTCTACAATTACTGAACTGCCAGATGAATGCACGATTATTAATGAGTATTATTGTAGATTTGCGAACAATATGATGATTAAATAATACATAATCGGTTATATAATAGTACTCAAATAAAATGAATTACTTATCGATCATACTGCTTCCTTTTTCTTTTCTACCCTTCAGTGAGGCATTAACACACTATAGCAAAGGAAAGATAAGCTGCGAAAATTACTTCTGTTATTTAGTAATAATCGCAATATTGGTAATATCATCAATACTATTATATGCCTGTTGTTATGTTTGCTTAAGACAATTTATTATAAAACATAAAGTAATAATCAATCAGTGAAATAATATAAATTTGTGCGTGGCTCGATTAACAAAACTGCAATGATTGATTCCATTGTTGCGCTAGCATCTTCCTTGCAAGGTGAGAAATTTACATTATTATTTATTTTCCAATTAAATTCTTCGGATTTTGTGTAAGTAAAAGGATATCCTTATTTTATAATAACGATAATTATAATGATTAAAGTTAACGATATTTTATTTAACTGACCGGGTCTTAAGTCTGATTATAATAATACTAATTATTATTATATTTTAAGGTAAATTGTCAATGTATTTTAAAACATTTCATCTGTATGATTTTTCATTGTGATCTGAAATGTTCCAGAAATATCGATGCCGATTTACATCATTACTAAACACATAATAAACGACATCTTCCGTTGTATTATATTAAATGCGATAATAAAATAATACAACGGTATATATAAATAATCGCTAATTATCACAACATTATTATTTATTAAATGTTAATATGAAAAATTATAAAAACAAAGCGGAAGCTATTAGTTTTATACAAACGAGAAAATTAATATTAATTCCGAAACGCGAGCTATGTTTGAGTGGGACTTTAGAAGAATCAGATTTAAAAACTTGGAAAGACGATGACCACGTTCCTTATAACAATAAATCCAAGTGCTTTTTTCCCGGATGTAAAAAAGGTTTTACACACAATCATAAATTGTGCGACAAATGTTTTGCTAAAATCAAATTGCGGAAGAAAGAATTAGAAAATAACAATATTCTTAAAACAAAATAAACGTTTAATCAAATAGATTATAAGCTCGGTTATTATTCTGTTAAGAAGCATTAAAGTAGTCACTTTTATATTATAATATCTAGAGATTTCATATTGTTTTGCATAAGAAGATTTTAGAGATTATGCGTGATCTTGTTTAAGAGTATTATAATATCATTTTGTAATAAGTTAATATTCATGAAGCGGGGAAAATCCATTTGGGTTGATTCCGAACATATTCAAAATTAAGATTTAGGTTCTTTTGAAAACTTATTGTTGATTAATAATTAATAAGAATTATAATGCGATAATGCAATGCAATAAACAATTTTAATAATATATAATACACATATAATGTAAAAAAATTTATTTTCTTTATTAAACAATGTACTGTAAATTGATTTGGACGATGAAATTTTTATAATTTCTAGAGTTTGTTAATTAAAAGCTGTTCAAATTGAATCAAAGGAAACTTGGGTACTTGTAATAATTTTTTAAGCTAATGATTATGTAGATTATTTGTTTCGTCATCGATACTTAGATTTAGATCTCATTTATTTGTTTGCTCGACTTCGATCCTATTGATGTGATTGCTTGACATCGATTTTATTAGTCGAGAGTTAGGATTCAACCCATTAAATTTGTTTGCTCAACATCGATCCTATACGTTGTGAGTTTTTTATCGATCTTGTTGAATTATTTGTTTCGACATCGATTGAAAATAAGTAAGTTTGATCTCGAAATTGAGATAGTGAGCTATGACCAAACCCACTAATTTGTTCGTTCAATATCGTTCCTATACGTTGTTAGATCACAACCGATCCTAATGAAGAGTTTGTTCGATATCAATCCTAAAGGTAAACGTGTTTGATCTCGAACCTATGCTTGACATCGATATTAAAGGTTGCGTTTTCGAAAACAATCTTAATGGGCTAATAAAAATTTATCGACATCAGTTCACAAAACATTTGGGTCGAAAAATAGACAACGGGCTCGACGTCAAACTTCACAACGTGCATGGAAATCCACGCTTTTGGTCAACTATAACATTTCAAAAATAAATAAAATATGAAAAGCAAAATTATTTTTTAATTAAAGTATTGTAATACAATGATTAAATCCACACTTTGGGTTTAATACATCAATTGATAAAATAGCTCTTTTTAAAGTTTTCTGAAACTAAATCAATACTTTTTGATAATGAAGATTCTCTATCTCCAGTGAATAATATGTGATCAAATGTGTAATGTGTTTAATTCATCGAGCCATGCATAAATTTCTATTATGATTACTGATTGATGATTACTTTATGTTTTATGAAAAATTGTCTTAAGCAAACATAACAACAGGCATATAGTAGTATTGATGATATCACCAATATTGCGATTATTACTAAATAACAGAAGTAATTTTCGCAGCTTATCTTTCCTTTGCTATTGTGTGTTAATGCCTCACTAAAGGGTAGAAAAGAAAAAAGGAAGCAGTATGATGAATAAGTAATTCATTTTATTTGAGTGCTATACGTAACTAACAAAATGTTATTATATAACCGATTATGTATTATTTGATCACAGTATTGTTCACAAATCTACAATAATACTCATTAATAATTGTACATTTATCTGGCAGTTCAGTCATTGTAGAAATTGTAATAATGAGTCTTTTAAATTTTTTTCAGATCTTTTCATAAAAGCAAGTTATGAGTTTTAAATTTATATCATTTGAATAAGCACCTTTCAGATGTCTTAAAGCTGCGACTATTGATGACAATGAAATTAAATCGTGATTAGTCAAACACTGTAAATATTGGCGCGCTCAAATTAATCATATAACTTTACGTTTACATTCATCTGGCAGTTCAGACATTGTAGAAATTGTAATAATGAGTCTTTTAAATTTTCTTCAGAATGAGTTTCAAATTTACTTTACTTGTATAACGTGACTGACTGCACTAATCAGGTGTTGTAATGCTGCGGCAAATAATGTCTATGAAATTGCAAATACTCTAACTAAATGGAAAAATAAAAAATCTTATTTCTAATATGCTCTATTTAATGCCATTATAACACAATACATTTTTTGATAATACATAATACATGAATGCTGTAATAATTTTTTATTTTTATTTATTAAACTCTGTACAGTAGTTTGGTCAAAAGTTTGTGTAACAGAATTTAATAGATAACGTGACAAAAAAAAATGAATTTTTTATTCGAACCAAACTATGTAGTTGTATATTGTATTTCGCAATCACATCGGTTTGATTGCATACGAATTTTTAAGAAAATAAAATAAAAACTTTTATTTAAATGATCATGCTACTACTGATGACCCCAATTTTTATAATATCGTCGGCAATTTTTTAATCTCCACATCGTTAATATATTCCAGCTGTTAAGTCGACTGTTAAATTATGTGTCATTTGTGTGAAAGGTATTCCATCTGTTACTATCCAATCACAAACTGAATTCCTTAATTCTTTTTGTTTGGGTTCTTTGTAACGTGTCACTTTTTTAAATTCGTCATCAATTTAAGTTGCTCCTAATAAAATATATATAAATTAATATTATTTTCTTTAAATATATAAAATACATAACGCCTTTTTTTTCATAAACTTTATGGGTTGTATTCAAATGATAATTCATAGAACTTGTTTGAGAGTTATAAGCACAAGATAAAAAACGATTGTGAAAAAAAAAAAAATAAAAGGCAGAAATTATATATATATAATATTTATAATATCTAATGACAAATTTGCAAATTTGATTTCTAGTCTTTCATTTTTTGTACTTTTTGTAATTCCAACTACTCTTTAATTTACCCGTAAAAACCAAAGAAAAAATGCATAGTGCCAATCAGGGCAATAATAATTATAAAATAAAATTGCAATTGTTATTCTGATTTAATGATGAAAGATTCTAATTCAAAATATCACTTGACCCTAGTGAAAAAAGTTTTTTTTTTCGCACACTATACACCCATTATATGAACTGGCACGCGGATTTGAGTTTTATGATAGCTTTGTAGTATATCTTTTTAATAAAAAGGACAAAAAGGATTTGTCGTCTACTTACTTATTACTTTACTTATTAAAGTAAAGAATATTTCATTCTATTTACTAAAGTAAATACTTTTTCGGTCATGTTAAAAATAATTTGATGGATTATCGAAATTTCCTTGTTTTATTATTTTCTATTTATAATTGTCCCATAAGTATATGAGCATTACCATTTTGTTATGCGTACTTAATTACTAACGTTACAGAGATCAGAACTTGAAATATAAAAAATTTTGAACTGCGGAGAACATACTTGTATAAATAAAGTAAATTTTAAAGAAAGTCAGGAACAAATTACCAGATTCTAACTTATATGAAAAGCTTCCTGATTTGATTTGACACGAGTTTCCAATTCTTCCCATTCTGGCTTACTTAAAGCAACCTCTCCATACTTATTCTTTATTTCTGGAAGAATTCGCCTTAACTCATTTATTTCATCCTCAGAAAGTGATTTTGAAGAATATTGAAATTCGGCAAGTAATGTACGTAATATCTAACAAAGAATGAAAAGATCAATTAAAATTTGAAAATTGATCCTTTAATAACAAAATCTAAAAATTACCTTATCAGCTAAATCTTCGTCATCACCATAAGTTTCTAACAGCTTAACCAATTGTCTAGACAATCCTTTTTCTTCTATTCGAGTAGCTACTTTAATAGGATCTTGTAAAAGTAATGTATTAAATAAAAATATTGATTTACGAAGAATTGTAAGGTCTATATTTAATTATCAAGAAAGAATTTTTGGTTAGCCATTTATCTTTTATTTTTTATCGCAAATCATATGATCACATACCACTAGATGTTTGTAATAAAGATAGTAGTGTTTCATATCCTTTCTCTTGGTCAAATTGTTCTAATCCTGGCGGATAATGCTTAATTGCTCCTGTTAAATAAAAAAATTTAATTAATTGTCAAGTAGTAAAGGAATTCAATAAAATTTAATCTCACCAGAAATAGCATATAAAGCTTTGCTCTTAATTTCATTGTCTTCATTTGGATTCTTTAACAGATCTAAGATAAGTTTTATTCCTCCTTTCTCTGCAAACTAAAAAAAAAATATCAATTGGATAATTGAGTATATTTATAAAAAAAAAAGGTTGTTTTAAAAGTGAACTTACAGCTTTTTGCGCCCTAATATTATTTTGAATAGCAGTTCCGCATACCCATACTGCATGCTTCCGAAGTGAAGTTTCAGAAAATGAAATAAATGACAATATTTTTGGCCATAAACCCATATTTTCGATGTCTAAAGGTTTGGATTATATTAATTGATATGAAGATATTTATGTTAATTAATTATAAGAAATTTACTTACCGATAGCATTGTCTATCTGCTCTACTAGCTCCAAAAATTAAATATAATGTGAGCACTATGTTTAATTTTTATAATTTTTGATATAGAAAAAAAAATTTGTACCAATTCTAAATTATCAAATGCGATTTCTTTGTTCTCCAAAGTCTCGTTGGGATTTGATATAACTTCCACAGCCTCTGTATAAAATTAAAAGTAAAAAATATATTTATTATGCATATATTTATAATTAATCACAAAAAGAAATACATTACCTCGAATTCGAGTAGCGTCACTTTTCCCCAAGATTGCATTGATAATTTCTGGATCCTAGTATCAAAAGAAAAATTATTATATCATTTTAATAGAAGTACACTCTCAAGATAGATAAGGCTTACAATTTTCTTCTTTTCTGGATCGTCTTGAGGAGGTGGTTGTGGTGAACCTCCGCTTGGGTCACTATTTTCAATCGACCACCTTAACAGTTGTTCCATATTGTTAGTTTTTTCGAGAACCCTGATCAAAATATACAGCTTTTATATGTTTAATTCATTACGTAATGTTGATTTTATTTGTGAAACATGAAAGTTACGATAATCACGTTAACTAACTTTTAATAGAGATCGAGTATTTATACATCACTTTATATGTATTATATTAAAAATAAAATAAAAGACATGATACAGATATGATGCAGAACTGATGCAGAAATATTCGGCTAAAGTTTATTTATAACACCTAATCAATATCCATACTCATCGTACTTAATCCGTTTTTGTAACTAGGAAAAAAAGTCAATTAATATATTTTTATCCAATTTAATAATAAATATAAATTACTTACCGTCCAATTATATACATTGCATTAATCACAAAAGCTTCAAGATGAATAATTGGTTTCGACCCTGACACAATTCGATGTTCCTATAACAAGTATTTCAATAAATAATCATTATGATGAAAGCGAAGTTGGCATATTAATTACATACGAATTCTGCCGCTTTTTCGAGAATTTCGATTTTGACGCTTTCGTCAGCTCTTCTCACAATGGCCAGGAAAATATACTAGAAACAAAAATATATTATTTTATCTAATCATAAATAGAAACTCAAAACAATTAAGTTCACCTTAATCAAATTTGAAGGCATAATGTAAGTATTTAACAATTCATAAAGCGAATTTCGTATACTCTCTAAACTAAATAATAAAAATAAGAATTCGCAAATGTTAAATATATCTTGGTAAATATAAATAAGAAATGGAAATATAATATAACCTGTCAGGATCATAATGAAGGTTTATTTTATTAGCGATATCATTAATGGTTTCTTCCCAATCCGTAAATTTGTAACGAATATTATCTTTCAATTCACCACTAATAAATTTATATTATAAAAGAATTAATTTCAATCAAACAACAGCTGTAACAAAAATGTATAATTAAAAGACAACATACTATTCCATATATAAAGATTCGAAGGAGAGAATGGTTTTTCTTAGATCTCGATTAGATTGATCTGCAATCAATTTTGCAACTTTTGGAGATAATTTGACATTTTTCTTTTTCGCAATATTTAAAAGTATATCGATTATCTAGAGTAAAAAACGGTGCCTTGCATGAGAATTTACGTTAAAATTGACGTGTTAATAAATACATGGCGTAAAGATATATTGTATAACCTCGTCAATTGTAGGTGCAGGTATTCTGATTAGCAGACATCTGCTACGAATTGGATCAATAATTTTACTTGGAGATTTACAACACAAAATGAGCCTCACGTTCGACATATATAATTCCATGGTTCTACGAAGTGCAGCTTGAGATTCACTTGAGAGCAAATCAGCCTCATGTACAACAACGACTAAACGAAAAAAGTTTACATGATTATCAAATAATTTATTCACCAATTAATAATTCAAAAGAAAAACATATTGATATTACCCTTGAAAACGTGTTTAATAGATAAATCGACTTGTTTCGTCTGAGCGACATCTTTTAGAAATTCCTGAACAACTACTCGATCAGAAAATCCAACCTCACTAAATAATTTATTAATTATTAGATTATTTTAATAATCGAAATTTATAAATAATCTCAAATATTAATTACTTTGGAGTTATTTCAAGATGATGTTTACTTGAAACAACAGTTATGCTAAGTTTTCGAGAAGAGTTAGTAGTAAAAGTCTGTACATCAGTTTTAAGCTATTTTAAACAAAATAAATTTTAGTTAAACTTGAACTAATTAAAATATCATTAAATCAAAATACTTGATGAAAAACCTTTTGAGCACCTTCACCGTATAACTCTCTTAAGAGACAAGAAATACGCGTCTTTTTTCCTGCCCCTGGAGGACCGTATACGAGCAAGTGGGGGAAATCTTCCGAAGACGCCTAAAATAATTTTACACGTATATTATGACTACTCTTTATCACTTTAACCACTTTTATTGCATATTCTTTATCAACAATTTCTTACCAAAATTTTGAGCCTTTTTGTTAACTCTGAATTATATGTTAGCTCTTCAAGTGACTTTGGTCTATACTCATCAACCCATAAACTCATTATTAAAATTTAAAAGAAATTAAGTTCAAAGATAATTTTCGAACACTTTTAATAAAACTTAACCTCGTGATAAATTACCTAAACTTGATCTGAAGTAATTGTGGCACAGCAGGTTAACAATGCCTAAAGGCACATGATTTAAATAGTGTTTATGTTATTTTTCTAGTTAAAATAATGGTATTTTTATTTTTCTGTACTTTCATATAATTTATAGTTCTATCATAACAATAGAGATCTGTATTATTTACACATTTTAAAAGTACAATAAAGTTGACAATACAGTATATAAAATCTATTTGACATAATATATTCATCAAATAAATAAATAAATAAATATTATTATTCATTTAATACAATATTCAATAATACTCAAAAAGAAATTCTAGGTTAATGGATATTTTTTTACAGATTTAGGATTAGTCTCATTAGGTTATGCTAAACATAAAAAACCGAGTTAATTTACTATACAATTTACACTATTGATTTTCTTGCAAGCTTGCAATTAACTCTCTAAATTCTTCTTCAAGAGCTTCCCTTTTACTTCTCTCTTCGGCTAATTTAGCTTCAAAATTAGATTTAACCTTATTTATTTCTTCATTAAACCATTTCTTTAAACGTAATTCAACATCAGCAGAAGAATTGGGAATTCCACCAAATTGATTGAATCGGGATGAAATTCCTTTAACACCACCACTAATCGGTTTTGTATCAATACCCGAAGATGTAGTAGAAGATGTTGTTTCCGTGGATTCTGTAGAAGTTTCAATTGATGGTTTTTTTGCAACAGGTCGAAGATGTATTCCTCCAGCACCTAAGGTTGGTAATTTGAACGTACTCGGTTTAACAGGTTTTTCAGGTTTTTCAGGTTTAGGTGGTGTTGGAGGGGAAGCAACTGGTTGAGCTTTTTGTTCCACTTCGTCTTTGGTCTAAAACAATAAATGCATCAGTAAATCATTTTTATAAATAATATACTTTAGATAAAGTTACCTACCGATGAAACAGACTCTAATAAAATTGCGGTTTGACTTTGGCTAGCACTTTCCTTGATACTCTTGGCACTAGGAGTTTTCCTGTTTTTAATAGCGGGTCTATCCTTTTGTAAACTGGTTAGTTTAGGACCAGTTGGCAAAGGTGGAAGTTGTGACTGTGGTTTCTTTTCTTCAGGTTCTACTTCATGACCACCAGTTGTATCATCATCATCTTTTTTATCAAGATCTTCAGTGTTTACTTCATCTTTTTCTTCATTTTCTTCATTATCAGAAACTTCTGCTTCTTTATCTACTTCTTCACGTATTTCAGGTTTTTCAGCAACCTCTTCTGTTTGTTTTTCATCTTCAATTATATCATTATCTTTGTTTTCTGGTTCAGATGGTTCGGGCAAAGATGTAGAAGAATCATGTTGGTCATAAGATGTTTTTCGATTAATTTTTGGTGAAACGGGCTCAGTTGGTGAATTCTCATTCTTAGTTTTATCCGATTTAGATGATGTTGATGATGACCTCTTAACTGGAGAAACAACAGGAGGTTTAGCTGGTGAAAAAGATTTCGGTGGTTTGGCTAAAGTTGGTGATTTTTGAGATTCTGTTTTATTTTCATGTAAAGATAAAGGTCTAGATGATTGTCGAGGAGGTGCGGTTGGGCGCTCTTTTGGAGAAATTGGAGAAGTATCAGTGCTTCCAAAGTTTGTAGAAATGGATTGAATAGGTGGCAAATCTGGTGAAACTAAAGAAGGAGGTCGTCTGCTTATCACGTGTTCCTCTACATCATGACTTGAATTTCTTGGTGAAGTAGGTGAAGTTGACTCATGAGTAGATCGTCTTTTAGATGCAGTCGCATCATACGTAGATCGTCGATTGGTTGTAGGGGGTGAAGAAGTTTCATTTGTTGTACGCTTCATAGGAGGCGGAGGGGATTTAGGTAATGTTGGAGAATCTTCATTATTAACCTCATACGAACTTGAATGAATTGAAGAAGGTGGCGAATCAGCGGAAACAGATGCTGGTTCAGATGTAAAAACTTCTTGCGTAATCGTAACTGGGACTTCAGAAGATTCTTGTCGTTCTACTTCTTCGACAGTAGCATCTTCTGAAACTGATTGCCTCTTTTGTTGAACTTCAGTTTGCTTTATTTCTTTTACATATGTAGAAGGAAACATTCCAACTTTTCCTTGTTCATTTCTTCCTGTCCACCAACCTTCATCATCCTTTTCTATAATTGTCACAATTGTGCCTGGTATTAATGAAATCTCATCTAGTGATAAAAAGTAAATTAATATAATGTAAATTACATAGTGAATAATTTTTTTTAAAAAAATAAACAATATGATATATCCGTACCATCTCCCTCGGCATCATAATCATGAATTACTTCAGCTTTTGGTTCAGCTATATATTTAAAAATAAAATACCCACCATATTAGTTCAAATGATTGAGTAAATAAAGGAAAAAAAAGCAAAACCAAAAATACCCTTTTTAGGTTTTGGAGGTTTTTTCTTAGGTGGTAAATTAGGCAATGGAATGTTAGGTTGTTGATTAATTGGCTATATTCCATATTATATTTAATAATAATTTAAAAATTAGCGATTATTACTTACTATTTCTTAATAATTTGTTTAATAATTATAAGGTTTCTTGAATGACGTCATAAATAAACGCGTAGCATGATGTATGCAATCATAATTACATAAGAAAATTTTATATAATAGGCGTACTTACTGATGGTACTGAAGTTTTCTTTAATACTGGAGGTGAAGCGATTACATGCTTTTCTTCAGATACCGAAGAATTCTCTGGAGATGGATGACTACGCTTTTTTAACGTTGGGACACCTCCAGAAAACAAACTGCCAAGTCCACCAGGCTTGACGCCATACTTATTCAAATTTTTTTTCTTTACACCTACATTTATAGAATCATTAATATTTTGAAATTTAAAAACAATAATAAATTAAATTACCTTCATCATCTTCATCAATGGTCGATTGAGTTGGTACTTCAATTAATTTGACATGCTAAAATTAATCAAAGATTTAAAGTTACCAAAATTTAACATTTAAATAATCTACGCGTCTCATAAGCATTAAACTAGGTTGTCTTCGGAAGTACATACATTCGCGGGAAATATACCACTTTTTCCGTTCAAGTCACCTTTCCACCATCCCCCATTTTGTTCCAAAACGGTTATAATATCGTTTACACTAAGTGATAACTCATCCGGTTCTTTTGCTTCATAATCATATTCTACCTTAGCAAGCTTGGGCTCTTTTATTTATTCAAAGGAAAATAAAACCAACAAATTAGATACACAAAATAATGAAAATAATTGAATAATAAGCTCAATAATCATACCAGTGACCGTTTTGACTTCTGAATTTTCCTCTTCTTCGCCTACTTCTGTATTTGGTGGAGTTAAAGGTTCCTCAACAGTCTCTTCCTCCTAAGTTTATTTAACATAACTGTCAAATTTCTTCAAACTATATGAAGATAAAAAGATAAAAACATTCAATACCTTTGCAATTTCTTCAGAGTCCATTTAACTTGGCTTATTTTTTATAATCAACCAAAAAAAAAAAAAAATTTTCTGTTTACTTCAAATTTTATTAAACACAAAGAAATGTACAGGATATATAACAACGGAAGGTAAAACTCAACACGAAACACTTCACGCTTCACGGAAATAAAAGTTTTTATATCAATATCTGTTGTCCAACAATAAATGCTATATTGGGTAATCGGGTAATTATATCACATGTTTTGCGTGACAATTTTTATCAAACTTACTTAAATTTTTAAACAAGTCTTTTTATAACATCAAGTAAAAATGTGCCAAGAACCTTTTTTTTTCGCAAATGCTTTTTTCCATGGATAATGTAAAAGTGATATATATTATGTACTAACAAATTAATAAAATACAAAAAATATGGTGCGCCATAGATATCAAATTTTATGTATATATAATATTAAGTAATTTTCATTTATTTAGCCTTTCTTAGAGAAGCAATTTCTGATTGAACGATAAAACGACGCTATTATTGATAATAAATGATTAAAAATAACATTTTAAATAAATAAAATATATAATAATTAAGAAAGAATATATATTTATGAAGTACCTGTTTCTTCAGCTTTAATAATTTAAATCTGTCAAAATCAGTTAACACAGATCTCTTCTTACGATCATCTAATTTCTTGGCCCATGATGATTTATCCCATTTAGCCAAGACATCTTCTTTTTCAAGATACTTCTTTAATATTTTTGAAGTAGCACCCCTGGGAAATCCTTTGACTACAAAATCAGTAAGAGTCATACGACGGAAAGTGTAAGCATGTCGAGCCACACCAGTGGTTGGACCATCGATGAGTGCCTGTAAATTTAGTGTCAAATTTACGACAAATTGAATAATTGATTTAACAAAAATAAATTCACTAGTTCCCTTTATAAACCTAGGAACTAATCAATGAGTAAATTTAAGCGCTTAATTTGAAATCTAGAATTTAGATTAAAAATTTTTTCTTCTCTTTTTGTAAAGATAATTTCGAAAAATTGAGGAAATTGTTCCATTATATTTGACTCACCCTGTTGTGATCAATTATTTCAACGATGATGGCAAGCTTCCCAGCGTATTCACCAGAGTTAATGAGGACTAATCGACCAACTTCGACCAAACGTTGGAAGGAACCTTTCTGTTGTTCTTCCTTGCTTTTCTATATTAAATAAATACAATTCAAAAAAAAAGTATAAGTACTCACAGGCTTACAAAGTAAGCTCGCGATGCTCCCACCCATGTATAACATCATGCTATAATACGATTTTTATCACTTTCAAACTCTGACATTTTCAAATATTATATCATAACTAATTTAACTAATCATATAAAAAAAAAAAAAAAAAAAATTTCTTCTTGTATAAATTCATTAAATATATGATATAATATATGTTAACAATGTATCAATATGAATTAAGATTAATATACATCGACTTACCGTTGTCATTCTTGTTCGATAACAATTCTTCTCGGGGCGAAGTGGATTCGAAAGAGGAAGAAAATTTTTTTTTTGATAAATTCCTAATAACAAAAAAAAAGAACTGTGATTTTGATTGGATAATACAATTGATACGTTGTGTTACAAATATCCAGTGATTGATCGGTAACAAAGTCACATGATTACTTTGTAAAGAGCGGAATACCTCGGGTATTTGTGATTACGAATTATGAATCAATGATTACATAAGCATAATTGATTGATTTTTTACTAATTTGGGCACTTATTAACCTTGAGAATTTTTATATAGCTAAAATTTCGCGATTGTGGCAGAAATTAAAGGATACATTGATCAAAAATAAGAAATCGGAATCTTACTGTTACCCTATCCGCCAAAATCAGCCATTTTTTCTCAAGAAAGTTTAATTAAATTTAAACGTGGTAATATAGAAATTAAAATTTCAAAACAAACTGCGCCACAAGTGTTTATTTTAGGAAAATTTTTTAAAGCAATTTACTGTGTAATAAATAAGTATTCACTTACGCAGCATATTCATTTTAGTTATTACTATAATAAAGATATAATTGTAAAATTTACAATGTTACAAAGTTTAATTTTATTGTTTACATAATAAATATAAATAATAAACGATTGAAAATAAAATGATTTATTTATAAATTTGAATTATAAGAATCTATTGGTAAACTTTATAGTAGAAATTTTCGTGTCGCGTCAGTTTATGAAAAAAAGTAGGATTTTTTTTTTCAAATTAATAAAGCTATAATCCATTGTATTCGGTTATTAAATTTCAATGATTCCTTATTTATATGTTTGTCATTCAAAAATTTCTCATTATAATATATAAATAACTTCAAATAAAAAGAAAATTTAAAAATTCACATACTTTACTGTTTTTTCCATCATTATAACCGTGTTATAATAATTTAACAATTTTTTTTTTTAAAAAAAAAATTTCTCTTCAAATTAAATAAATTTATCTAAATGCCTTTAAAAAAAGATGGAAAATGGTTTAGCCGTGAAAATTTTACGTGAGTTATTCGAGTTATTTATTTTTATAAAGTATATATAATATCTTATGTTAAAAAAATATATATCGTTTTATCTCTAGTTTCCGAGGTAAATTTATTCAATGTGATGTCAATTCAGAAATACTCTCTAATCAAGAAGACAAATGTCCTAACTGTAAAAGATTGCGTGAAGAATGGTTTTGGTGTCGACCTTGTGAAATTATAGAATTTGAAAAAAAGAAATGGACCAGTGGAAATAAAGAAATTGATGAATTAATTAAGGAAAGTCAAATTAATGCAACAAAATTTTGGGATTTTATAGAATGGATTCCAAGCGAATCGATTGAAAAATATGACTTGATTGGTAGAGGAGGGTTCGCTACTGTATATGTAGCGACGTGGTTGGATGGTCCAAGAATTAAACCAGTTATAAATGATGACGGAACAGTCAATATTGTTCGTGCAAAACGTTGGCCTGTTGCTTTGAAAAGACTAGACAAAAATAGAAAAAATTTTCTAAAAGAGGTAAGAAAGTGTTGTACAATAACCTCATGATTAACCTCATTAAATTAAAACATGGTTCTATAAATCGATTCTTAAAAAATAGGTTAAAACACACGTAGATTTAAAGAATGATTATATTGTAAGATGTTTTGGTGTTACAAAAGATCCTGAATCAGATGATTACATGATGGTTACAGATTATGTAGAAAATGGTGATTTACGAAAATACCTAAAAAATAATTTTCGAAACTTAACTTGGAAAAAGAAAATTGAGATGTTGTTAGAAATTGCTAAAGGTCTTAAGACAATTCACGATTCAGGTTATCTACACCGTGACTTACATGCTGGAAATATTCTTCCCGATCGAATAGTTCAAATTGCTGATCTCGGTTTATCAAAACCTGCAAACTTAAATTTACCTGAAAGTCAATTATATGGTGTGATGCCATATATGGCGCCAGAAACATTAAGAAACGCAATATTCAGTAAATCTACCGATATTTATAGTTTTTCTATGCTCATGTTGGAAATGGCTAGTAATGAATTGCCATTTTCTAAAAGATCACATGGATTTTTCTTGGTTCTTGATATTTGTGGAGGATTACGTCCAATAATTCCTCCTAACGTTCCAAAAGTTTATAAAGACTTAATGGTAAAATGCTGGGATCCAACACCTTCTAATAGGCCAACTGTTGATGAATTAATAAAAAAGTTAGAAACTTTTCTAACAAATATATGTTGGCATTCCACCTCAAGGATAGCATTACAATTTGATCATGCTGAAAGATGTCGTTTAGAATCAATAAAAACTAAAATTATAATTGATTCTATTCAACTTCATCCTGAAGCTTTTTATGATAGTAGAAATCTTTCTCAATATATTATCAGATAAAGATGAGTTGAAAAATGATGCTAATTCCGCTCAAATTCGTTCTGAAAATTCAGGTAATTTAAATTCTGTTATACATTTTTAAACTTCATATACTATTGTAAATAATAAAAATTTTTTAATTAGTTATTCGGAATATTTTTACGTCTTATTGTAGTGATTATTTGGAAGGTAAAAAAATAAGAATAAAAATATTTTATTATCGCCGTTTTCAAAATAGTGTATTATATTATATTTATATTATTGTTATTCGGATACTCATATTCGTCCGGTTTATCCCGTAATCGTTCAACATTCGTCCGGTAAAATGTATCATTCAAACATACTAGCTACATCATTTTGAAAACAGCGATAAATATTTTAAATTGAACTAACATAAAAACTTTAATTTGTTGTGAAAAATAGTTGACAATTCGGCAAACACTCATTCAATAGAATTAATATTAAAGAGTAGGGAACTGAGTTCAATATCGTAAATTAGTAATTTTTCTTTTTTACAACATACAGTGTATGCCATTCGATAAGTAATCGACATAGCCAGATTGAAGTAAAACTTTTGCAACATCTAACGTATTTGTATTTATAGTTTATACCATTTAACATCTTTTATTTTCTCCTCTTCCGCCGCACTTCAAATATAACTTTTTGTCATAATTTGTAATTATTGGTAAAGACTTAGTTAAAGTCAGAAACTTGCGAAATTTTGTCTCTTTGTATAATAAATCCTTGATTGAATCATCCATCTCCGTACATCTCCATATTTAAAAATCTCTGATTCGAAACAACAGTAATACGCATTAATTCATAAGATTATTATGTTTAGTTTTACAGACAAAAAATTTACCACTTTGTAAGTTATATTTGACCTTCATTTTGAATTAAAAAATTAATAAGTCTTTCTTTAATTTATATTGTCCAGTCCAATTTGATTAATGAATATGAAATTCTCGAATTCATCCCGTATATCGGTCCTTGACAAACCCTAATTTTAGTTAATTACTCAAAAATGAATATGGGTGCGTTCGCAAACTCAATTGGATAATTTGGTTCGGATCCTCATAAAATTTAATCCGTGTTCACAGATAAGAGGATTGGAGTTTTGAGAAAAATTATTTTATGTTTGGGAAAGTAACGGATGGTCCGGTTACCGATCGACTTAATCCAATCCAATTGAATTTATGAACGTACCCTATGTGATAATAAATTATATTTTTCAATTTATTAAAATTTTCAAAAAGATAACAATGATATAAATTTAAATATTCTTATTTGGAAATATGAAATTTGTTTTTTACAATCATATAAAAACTAATGTTACATTATTACGTAATTAAGAAATTGGGGATCACCTTATCAGCTATTTTTATCAAAATAGTGTACATTAAACCTGTGATACATTATACAATCGTTTTTAATGAAATTTGATTGGTAAAAATCAAAATCTATAAAACAAAAACGCGTACTTGAAAAGAAAAGATTCAATATAAACTTGGTATATTAGACAAATGAAATATTACCCACTTAAAATATTAATTATTTAAACAATGATAAAATAGAAAAAAAATTATCTTTACAATTTAGAATTCATTATTATAGGTTTTATTCCCTCACATTTATGAGAATGTCCCTAAATTAATTGATTTATTATTATAATTGGTATAATTATATGATTACTATATCAAGACTTTGATAAATAAAGAATATTCTAGAAAATTGATATAAATTACTTAAAACGCGAAAAGCAATTTTTTTTATTTTCGTTCGTTCCGATAACCGCCTAACCCTATCATTAAAATGCGGTTTAATAAATTTACAAATCAGATTAGTTCTTATTCTCACACTCACGTTATCATCACAAGTTCCCAAATATCAGCTAAATTTGGTTAGCATATTGAATAGGGTATGCTACAAAGCAAAGACTACTAGTGAACTTCCATTTGAAGCTAGTGCTATTAAAGATCTTGAATATATTAGAAGGTATCATCAATATTTAANTCCATTTGAAGCTAGTGCTATTAAAGATCTTGAATATATTAGAAGGTATCATCAATATTTAAATTTTGATATTAATTTATATTATTGATACTGATTTAAATTGATTTTACAGAGCATCTACGAGTAAATCAAAAGTATATATAAAACCCATTATTGACAATTTATGTGAATCTTCAGACAGTTCAACTGACAATGAGGAAATTGAATCACCTGATGGCTCACTTCAGAACCTCATGAAGGATTTCCAACGCAAATTACAAGACCAATATATTAATAGTAAAACTACTATTCATATAACTGTAAACGAAAATTAAATTGTTAAATCATTATTTCAATGGGTTAAGGATGCAAGTGATGATGATTTATTGCGTCGTCCATCAATCGTATTGGTTTTAGAAGAGTAAATAATTTAATATTAATAATTTGTTTTTTGTTTTTATTTTAAACTTATTTTTCTTTATTACAAATTTTAGTGTAACAGATACTGGAGGCGTTTTCCGTCAAATAATATCAACTTTCTGGAACAAAGTCCTTGAATGTGATTTGTACTTTACAAATGGGATAATCGATAACACAACAGAATCTCATATTCTAGGCAAAATGTTATTTTGGACCATCTTACACTGTGGTCTATGGCCACAGTGGCTTCACAAATTGCATATACAATATTTTATTGATGAAAAAATAGACGTGGTGAACGTTCTAAAAACAACTAATCATAATGTTTATCGCTTATATCGTCAAATAAAACACAATATTGACGCTAAAAAATCATTAAATGTATATTTAAGCAATAGAGAAATTGATGTAAGTATAATTTAAATTTAGTATAATTTTTTTAAATAAAAAAAAAATTAAATTATAAATTAATTTTTAATACTTAGGGTGAATTTAGTTCTTTAAGTAAAGAAGAACAAGCTGCTTTTATAGCAGAATATGAAATTATCACCATAAGAAAAAAAGCTCTTGAGGAATTAAAACTTGGATTCGATAGATTTAACATTATTAATGTAAGTTTGACATACTATAAAATACTCAGATTAATATTTATATTACTTAATTGAAACTTTCATTTTTTAGGAGTTAAAAAACAACTGCAATTATCATAATTTAGTTCGGGAGCTTTACTACAAATTTACATACGAAATTATAATGAATCAATTTGATTGCAACCATGTGGAACTTCAGGCACTCCATAAACCTGAATATCTTCAACTATTTAACAAGTTTAAAGAGATGTTAAAGTCAATGAGTGAAACGGAATTAAAAATAGTAATGAAATTTATCACAGGAGCAGAAATAATTCCAGCAATTCCCAAAATTAAGGTATTGAAAATACTTTCATTAATTTTATCATTAAATTAAAATATATTTAATATTAAATTTCAATTAGATCTCATGGATTAACCTTAAACCAGAAGAAACTTCTCTCTGGGTAAATCGATTACCACGTGCCTCTACATGCGGAAATATGTTAACCTTATGTGAAAATTACGAAATGTCCAATGAAGGATTTAATATCTTTAAAAATGATCTATATGTTGGATTTATGAATTACGAAGCTTTCTCAGAGTCCGTATATTCAAGAACTTACAATATTAATTATTCTTTACAAGATGAAATTAGGAATGCAATGGAAATCTCACCAAGTTCACCAAGTTCTTCTACAGTTGTGACCCCAATTCGATTATCAACAGCTCAATTTAATTCAACATCTACGGTTAGATCTTCTGGTAATTCACTTGATAATGCTATTTTTATTGATGATGCAAACAACAATTCTTTAGAATTAAATGCAGATTCTCATCAGGTAACATTTTAACTAAATTATTATAAAAAAATTATTTAAATAAGATTTAATAATGAATTCTTAAACATAGAACTCTTAAACTTTTAGACCGCTAGTTTGAATACAGAAAGTCAAAGAGAATACCGATGGGTAAATGTTAACCCTTTAGAACGAAGAACAAGGAGGAGGAACAATGATTCCGAAGTTGAGGGCAAAACAACAAATAATTAGGGCTATCTCTATTAAAGTTTAAATATATTTTATCAAAATTGTAGCAATCAAATTTTGAATATATTGATGATAAATGAAATTTATTTTGTACGTAATGAAAATATTCAAGTATCTTTTATTATTAATCTTTTCTCTCCCCTTGGTCAAACGATGAAGAATCGGTATATTAATTAAGAACCGGTTAAGAATTAGTTTCTGAGTGAAATTCACAATAATTAGTTATTGCTCAGTAAAATCATCGATGGTCCATATGGTTAGAAAATGATCTACATTCTAATAGAACATGCATAATGATCGAACAATGGGCTGTGCGACACAAATTCCTCCTAAATCTGCATAGTTCATAAGTTTGAAGTAAAGTAAAAAGCTTTTACACATTAACTGTTAACACCAGAAATCTAGAATTAAATAAATGGTTCNCTCCTAAATCTGCATAGTTCATAAGTTTGAAGTAAAGTAAAAAGCTTTTACACATTAACTGTTAACACCAGAAATCTAGAATTAAATAAATGGTTTGTTGGTTTTTCTTTTTTATTTTTTATAGATTCTTACTTCTCCGAAGGGAACTTTTGCGCCATTACCTATATGAAATGTCCTTTGGATGCAGGTAGATCTTTTTTTCAGTGAAAATTTCGGGAATTGACTTCAAGAAACGCATTAATATTCCTTTTATTTTATTTTTTGTAGGTTCCATATTCATTGGACGTGGGTAGGTTATTTTTTAATGGAATTTCCAGAATTGACAAAAGAAATGTGTCGACGTTTAACATTTATTTTAGATATGGGTATATTATTTTTTTTTTAGGTTTTAAAACGGACTTTAAAATACACATTAACGGATCTTTTCTTTAATTTTTATAGGTTTTAGGCTTCGATTCTTTGGAGATAAGTGTGTAAGCATTGATACTTCAAACCTTTTGCTTTTCTTGCTTCTTTTAGGAAACATTTTACTCATATTTCCTTTTTTCTTTCTGGACTTCATTTCTTGGTTAATGGGTTTTACTGCAAAGCAGGACACTCAAACGAATAACTGGTGACCTGATACCAACCAAGGACAGAAATAAAAAAAAAATAACTAAAAAGGTTTTAGTGTTAAGTTTCAAATATTTTTTCTTTTCTTCTTTTAGGAAGCATATTATAAACATTTTCTTTTTTATCTTTGTAGGATCCGGGCAAAATTCCTGGAAGGTGCTATAACAAGAAGTACTGTAAGTCGGTTTTGATACTTTGAAACTTTACTATTCTTTTCTTAAGAATTATCCATTAGGGATGACTTTGAGTACGAGTACTAATTATTTAAGGTATGGTAGTATAAGGGTTAGAATTTTAGGAAATTAACTTTTAGCTAATGTTTCCTTTCAATTTATTTAGAAACAACCAAATTCTCTAGGGTATATTGATGTGGAAACTTTGACATATACTTATATTTGTTGTTAATGGTTTGGAACATTGTTCCAGTAGGTTCGATTCCAACAAACAACTATACAAAATTCTAATATTTCATAATAATAATAAAGTACAATGCATATAGTAAGTATAAAATCAAGATATCATTGTGATATTTTTCGTTAAAAAAAAATTTCCTGTGTAGGATCATTATACAGCTCCTCCTATCTATCTTACCAAATACTCCGATATCAATATTTTTTATTTTTACCAAGTTGAAATTTTTCTGTTGTTGTGTTCTCTCTATCTCTTACAGGAATTTTTCACATACCGGTACATTCTATTTTCCTCCTTTCACTTTCTGTCACACCTAACACGTTTCCTACCACCAACACACTCTTTTTTGCTATTTTTTGCTATTGCTTACATTACAGTTGTTCGCCCTAAGGTTCTTAATTATCATCACATTATTTTTTCTAAATCTGATTTAAAAGCTGCTATTGAATCCAAAAAAAAAGAAGCTGAAACCTAAAAAAGAAATATGAAAGTTAATAATAAATAATGATACGAAAAGAAATAAGAAAATAAATACACACCCGGTCATCAAAAAAGTATGATGATTATCAGGTAAAACCAATTATTTAAATAAAGAGGGGGACGAAAGAGAGGGAAAAAAAAGAAAGGAAGAACGGAAAAGAGCAATTACAAAAGAGAGCGAAGTAAAAAAGTTTTTATCTTCTTTCTAATCTTCAATTTTTCACGTTAGATCTTGCATTTGATAATGTTTCCTAAATAATCAACTTCCATCAAGTATGATGCTCCTAACGACAAAGATCAATGCACACCTGAGCTTGATTCTTGATTTCAACAGACTCCTCCAACCTGAATTTTGGATGTGCTTAATTTTCTCCTACCAGTCAAACATTTAAAATCTCTTTATTACATTTACGTTCTACAACTAATAGATAATTGTGATGCTCCTAACGACAAAGATCAATGTCCACCTGATTTTGATTTCAAAAACTTTCCCCAACCACGAATTTAATTTCTCCTCCCGGTCAAACATTTAAAATTTGTCCTCTTTATCACATTTATGTTCATCTAGCATTCACAACGTCAATTAATTTTACGTAAATATATGCTTTCACCCCTTTAATTTCTGAAACAAGCATATTTAGATTTCTCCATGGCCATATACTGGTGATATTTGACCTCCTATTTTCTTTACTCTATTTCTTCCTGTTCCTCTCACTATTCCTCCTGTTTTTCTGGATTGGGTTCATGAATATAATTATAGTCTTAAATTCATACATTTCCCCTTTCCTTCTGACAATTATTAACTGTTTTCTTCTTTCCCTCCTTAGAGATACGACTGGTATATATATATAGCATCTTCTACGATACCTATTCACCTTTTTATTATTCATCCCATTTTTCCAGTTCTATGTTCTTTACTTTTCTTGCTATATTTATTTCTTAGCTTTCCTGGTTGCTTTTAATGCAATAACTAGGTGAGAAAAAAGTCGAATGTAATTTAATAATTGCATCCAATCACGTGTTTCTGACAATGAAAATTGGATTATCAAAATGGTGACTATTTTTTAAATCAGGATTGACATTTTTTTAAACGTCAATACATCTACTCGCATATATTTTAGACGCGTTCTTTATTTAGTTTAGTAAAAAATTATATGGGTTAATTGGCTTTTTTTTTTTATTAAGATCTTTAATTTTCCATAAACCCATAAATACAGTATGGCATTAAATTTTCCTACTGTTGAGGAACAACAATTTGAAGACTTTTCTACTACAATAATACAAAATTCAATGAACTTTCTTGGTAGCGGTGATATT